CTATTATTCTGCGAACTGCTCTCACACTTTTAGGAACAGTCAGGATAGTAATTGCCTCTACTTTCTGAGGATCAACGGATATGCCATGTCGGCTTAGAAAATAACCAAGGTAGGTATCGCAACTCCGAACGACAAAATCTACTCTTCTCTCGGTTAAAAGACCAGCTTTTTCTAAGCTATCAAAAACAATCTTGCAAAACCCGCATATGAGTGTCGATATCGGGTGCTATACAAATTATATCGTCTAAATAACAGAAAACATAAGGACTTAATTCTGGGTCAAAAACATTAGTGATGAGACGTTGGAAAGGTAAAAGCTGTATATTGCTGTATTTTGCTTACTAGACTCCTCAAGGTAAACTTGCCATAGGCAGTATTCATATCTAATGAACTAAGGTAACGAGCACCACCCAATTTGTATAGAATTACAGAAATATATGGAAGTGGATAGCTAACCCAAACAGTTCGCTCGTTCAGTCTTCGAAAGTCGACCACAAACATAAATGTACCTTCCTTCTTTGGCACCAGTAGCCCAGGAGAAGCACCAAGAAGAGTTAGATGGCTCAATAATGCCCTCCGCTAACATTTTGTCAACTTCTTTGTCAATGATCTTTTGTTTGAATGGTGAAACCAGATATTAACGTTGTTTAACGGTTTCACTATCGGTAATGATCTTATGTTTCACCATGGAAGTACGACCCAAACGATTCCCTATCTTTTCGAAGTACGAAGAAACTAGGTAGGTACTCGGTAGATCAAAAGTTAAGTCCTCTGCACAAAGGATATGGCATTGCTCAGGTTTGAAACAATCTCCCGACGAAAAGAACGACTCACCTCTGCGCATGTCAGGAACAATGCCCATTTTAACCCAAAAGTCAATGCCTAACAATAATTGATGACGCAATTCAGGAACTACATAAATATCTACAAGACGAAGTTCGTCACGCAACCCAATAGGAACATTAACAATACCTAAACAGTAACATGAGGCATTGTTAGCGACTATGCAAGAAGCTTCCCTATTTGAGTCGATCGTAAAACCCAAATTCTTCAATTTATTCCAACCTTTGCTGCCTACAAAAACCTTATTAGCCTCGGAATCTAACAATCCCAAAAATTCCATGCCCAAAATATTAACCTTCAAAAATGGACATTCACCTGGACTAGCATGAGATAAAACATAATCAAGTACGACCTTATTTTTCTCATTTAGCTTACTGGTGGTTGTATTGGCTAGAGGAGCAGAATCACGACCAAAATTTAACCTCTTTGACTTTTTACCCTTACTCTTAGTACCTGTATTACTTTTGTTGTCAAGGTTGTTGCTAGAATTTTTATAAGAATTGCTATTACAACAATCGGGGCAAGTTTTTATGGTAAAAGTATTTTTGGCATAACCACGCATTTTAAAACTCCAGATTTACAAAACCTCGCAAAATGATTCGGTTGACCACACTTAAAGCAGAGATCTTTACTATTATTTTTGATATTAATAGTACCTGGGATACTATTGCGATTATTGATCTCAGTTTCGTTCAAAAATAAGGTACCTTTTCTAAAATTGCGTTTTGGGCTATAGTCAAGGTCAGGTTCCAGAGATAATCCACCCTTCTTTGAAGGTTTGAACTCCTCAACGCTCAACTTAGTTTGCTCTAAGCGCCTACAGAGTTCTATGAGATCAAAAAGTGTATCTATTTTATGTAAAATTAAGCGTTCTTGGCGAAAAGGCAAAATGAATCTGACACTGGAGTAGGGATTCTGCCAAAAAGGTTCGACAGCACCAACATAAATATTAACTGGCTCATCACTACCTTGGGTACGACTTGAAATTTGCTGCCATAATTTATCACTTAAATAAGGAGGATCAAATTCTTCCTTCATCAAAAGAACTAAACTATCCCAATCACTAGCATTTTTTGAAGTAAAGTGATAGTAATAAAGAGCATCACCCTCAAAAAGATCATGAGCACATCTAAAAAGTTCTTGTTTTTTAACTCGCCTAGAAATAGAAAGTTCCTCAACTTTTTGAAGAAAAACTACAAAACGTCTAGAACTACACGAAAATTTTAAATCACATTTCCAAACAGGAATTATGATTAAAATAATGTCGATGCGGCTGCTTGATGCATTAAATTGCTGGGTTCAAAGTTTGGATCTAGAGGTTCATCTACATGAGCTACAAAAGTTTTACGAGGATTGTAATATTCTACAATTAAATTTGACAATTTTCACAAAATTGCAGCTTGTTTATCCTTCGTGTCTGAACTGTCTGGAATTCTATCTATTCTAGCAGTTAAATGAGCGAATTTAGTTTCGACTTTGGGATCAGATTTGCCTGCTCCAGAGTAAGAGGAAATTCAACCTCTTAACTCGATAACTTTTCTATCACATTCTGCCAATTCATCCTCTGGTTTGTCTATAGTAAAGCTATGTTCCCTACCAGCAGTTTTTTCTAAAAGAATTAAGTATGTAAGACGTTTTCTTAATTCATCAACCGTACCTGATTCTGAGACACCTCTACTCTGAATCTCATATTCAAGTTCATCTATAGTTAGATGCTCAATACTCAATTTATATTTTGATAATCAATCAATAGAAATAAGATCAGTGCAAATTACACTTGCCAAAATTAAAAAAATTAAGACTAACGGTTACAAAAAAAAACTAAAATTATAAAAAAACTTGGCTATCTCCGAACGGCAAGCGTTGGTAGGAAGTCCCAGGTGTTACGCTAAAACCGGATGGTAAAACTGGAGGGTCGAACCCTCTAACAATTAGGGTTCTCCAAAAATGGGAGAACTGCGCCTCCCAGGCCTGAGTCCCACTCAACCTCGCCTTGGACTAACCTGCAGACGGTTCCCCTCCTCTCGATGGTTGAGAGTAATTATCTGCACGGTTAAGTCCCCAAAAGGGTAAGAAAAAGGCTCAGACAATAAAAACCACCAAAGGAGCCGATTTCTAATAGAAACTACCCCACCACCCTTTGAATCCGTAACTCAAATATACAAATGTCAATTAACTGCAACAGAAAATTAATGAAGCAATAATAAAAATTATGAAAAACGCAAATTAATTTCAAAGAAAATTTTATTAGAAGGTGTCGCTTGTGTATAGAGAATAATGGAGGCCATTTCGAATATGTTCTTTAAAAGTTAATAATTAAATTATCTTCCACATTTGTCGGAAAATCGCCATAAAGAGCAGCTAAACACAATAGGTTCTGTACTTGTAGATGGTAAGGGTTCTATTGCGCTTCTTACGTTTAGCGCATCACAACGAATGTGACATGATACCCTCATCGTAGCAAGCTGAATTTTCAGAGTTTATTCTACATGTATTGAAATAGTTTTTACAATAAAATTCATGAAGAAATACAACCACAATTTTTTTACCGCCCTCCAAAGTTGAGGGATGGAAGAGATTTTTCACAAAAAATGAATTTAAGATTTTTTGCGTTGATTTCTTATAAGCTCTGATAAAAAGTGACATAACAATCGACTTTAAAACGAGGATAGACCCCTTTGCTTACATTTCTGGTTGTTGACGACATATAATGGGTGGGCCATTTAAAAGTTTCGATTTAAAAATAAAATAAAACAAAAACGGTTTGAGATATTGCCAAATTTATTTTTTTGTTTTGAAGTACAATTGTTCCGCTCAGAAATGAAATATTACTTCATTCAAATGGCTGCCGCGGCTGGCCTCACAGTAGCCCATTCGATCGGACCAATTTTCGAGCACTTTTTCGAGTGTTTGGGGCCGTATCTCGTCAATGGCATCACGAATGTTGGCCTTCAAATGGTCAATTGTCTCTGGATGGTCGACATAATACTTGTCTTTAACAGCGCCCCACAGGAAATAGTCCAATGGTGTCAAATCGCAGCTTCTTGGCGGCCAATTGACATCACCATTTCGACTGATTAAACGGCCATCGAAGGTTTCGCGCAATAAGTTGATTGTGGCATGCGATGTGTGACAAGTTGCACCATCCTGCTGAAACCAAACATTCTCCACATCAATACCATCAAGAGCAGGAACAAAAAAATCAGTTATCATGGTGCGATAGGTGTTTCCATTGACAGAAACGGTTGCGCCGTCCCCGTCTTCAAAGAAATATGGGCCAATGATGCCTCCGCTCCACAATCCACACCAAACAGTCACTCGCAAGGGATGCATTGGCTTCTCTAAGACCTCGTGTGGGTTTTCCGAGCCCCAGATACGGCAATTTTGCTTATTGACGTAGCCACCAATATGAAAATGAGCTTCGTCTGAAAAGATTATTTTTTTCGCAAAATCGACATCATTGATTAGTTGCTCGTTGGCCCATGTAGCGAAGGCAGAACGAAGTGGATGGTCACGCGGCTTCAACTCTTGAACCAATTGAACTTTGTAAGGCGTCATACCGAGATCTTTCCGCAAAATTCGTCGTAAACTGGTGCGGGAAATGTTCAATTCTTGGGAACGATGACGTGTTGACGTTGATGGATTTTCACGCACACTCGCAGCCACAGCATCGATACCTTCGGGTGTACGCACTGTACGAGCACGCTGACGTGTTGGAGCATCAACAATGAAACCAGTTTCACGCACTTTATTAATAAACTTGCGTATACCGGGCGCTGTTGGTGCTTCGTTGCGACCGAATTTTGAACGGCATTTTCGTGCAATTTCTGCCCAATTGTCTTTGTTTTGGAAATAAATTTCCAATATTACCCAACGTTGCTCAAGCGTAAATCGATTCATTTCGTTCAGCGGAGATAATATACTGAATTTTATGACAAATCAGATTGACATAAGTATTGTCAGCGTCAAATTAACACGTGGTTCAAATCGAAACCGATAGATGGCCCACCCGTTACAAAGCGAATCGACACGTTGCCTCGCCGCAAGAAACGGCAGCAAAACAACGGATTTATTCGTGGTCGTTCTACACATTTTCAAACCTCCAGTAACTAAAATTATTCCCTGTTTATGGTGATTTTTCAGCGAATGTGTGGGTACTAAACATCATGATTCTCGTACAATGGATTGATATCAAAATAGTCAAACAAGTAAGAACCTTACATAAATTATACCATAATCGACTTGAAGATCTGGCAACGTTGCTTTTATCTGCTCATTCAGAATTTATCCACATCCTAAGAAAATAGTATATTGGTAGCACTTATTTAAGTTACGAAACAACTGCCATTTTGTGTCAATTGTCAAAGTTTGTTTTGATAGTGAATTTCCTTCCTGCTTTTAATCATTTTAGAGAGACTATAAAGGTATATTCAATCGCAATAAAATGGTGCAGCAGTGCTATTTGTGTAAAATTTATAAACATCAGGCTGGAGCGGAATCTTTAAAATTTCATTCGTAAGTATACATCTTGTTTATGTTCAGAGGCGTATCATGGCGTCTCATTATCGAGAAACTTGTTGATAGCTTTCGATTTATAACTGTAATATTCGAAATTCTAGCCTTCCCAAGACCCCGGAAAGGAGAAAAAGGTGGTTGTCGGCCCTTGGATTCGAGTAAAACCATCAATTTCCTAAGAGGGTGGAGCTATGTTCCAAGCATTTTGGAGAAAATGCGTTTGTTTATGGAAGTGAGGGACAAAAGACACTCAAGCGGGATGCGATTCCTCTCATCTCTCATTCTTTGTTTGATCCTGCAGTAAGCACCAGGTAAACTCTTAATACATAATAGACTAGTTTTTCTAATACAGTAAACAAAAAAGAATAGTTGTATTTAATAATATTTAACAACCACTCATTTTGATTCTGATTCTATCTGCTGTTTAACTTTTCATATAAGATGTTTCTGATCTAGGTATTTCTTAACTTAACTGTTATGGATTTAGGTAAATTTAGCTATAATTAGTGTAATATTTTGGCAATTTCACAGATAATAGACAGATATAAGACATACTCTATAATCTATCAGCAATCAAGAAGAGCTAACATTGATGAGCTAACATAATATCTGCATCTTATAAGCTGAAATGAAGATGATGCTTATATCTTACATTACATTGCTGTGAAAACAGTGACAGTACATTTGATTGATTTGGTTTGTTCAAATCACAATGCATTAAACTGAGTTGCTCATACTTTGATTAAAACTATAGTTCCTTTTGATTTTTTGTGTATTTTTTATATATGTGCATTGCTTTTTATAACTCATACTATTATTTAGTGTTTAATTTCATGAAGTATTTCTATGCATTAGTATCTCACTATGTAGAAGTCCCTAATTTGGTTTTATATATATATATATATATATATGCTTTATTCTAGTTCAGAATCATCTGTAAGTCCAGAGAAGCAAGAAGACTCAGATTGTAGTACTATATCTGCCATTTCAATCACTTGTGAGGGGACTCCTGCTAAAAAAAGGTAAGTTTAATTTATATTCTCTATCATGTTATTTTGTAGTATATTGAAATTTCTATGAAATTGAACATTTCTGAAGTCCTACATCCATATGGAAGCATTTTATATTTGCTGAATTGATATCGTAGATGGAAAAAATACCACCATTGTAGGTTCAAGTACAACAAGAAGGTATTCAGGAAATTATCTAGGGTTTTGTAATGATTTAAATAGAGCTTACCTCAAGCTGTACCATAAAAAAGATGATGAAGTTGAAACTCATTCAGTTTGATATATGCCTTAATATAACCCTTACTAAATGTTTGATAAGTCCTAATCAGCAGTATTCTATTCATAGCACTTATTTATTTGTTGTTTGTTGAGGTGAGAGAAGTTTATCACTTATTGACTAAATAATATTAAATTGACCTTGGGATGAAAACGTAGCTTATGTTATGAATTAAGCAATTTATTCTTAATTTATTTAAAATGTTTTAAAGCAGTTTTAGGGTGATTTTTCTTAAATCTGTACATTTCAGGAAAATTCGCTATGTGGGTGATATATCTAGTGAGGATTTTTCCACCCCAAAAAAGGCAAAAAGAAATTTCAGAATTCTTAAATATGCCTTAGAATCCGAGAGGAAAAAAAGACGTGGCCTCCAGACGACCGTAACAGCTTTAAGGAAGAGAATTAAAACATTAAGCAGCCTGTTGAAGCTGCTGAGAAGCAAACATTATACATCAGAATCGTCAGAAAATATGTTAAAGGTAACTAAGATCTGTGTGATCCACAAAGGACTTCAAGCACATATTTCAGGAATCATTACCAGGGTCTGCTGCTGAAATTTTTGAGCGAATGTTGAAGGGACCTGCAACTCAAAAATACAGTCCAGCTATAAGATCATTTGCTTTAACTTTAGCTTTCTATTCACCAAGAGCTTATAATTTTGTGAGAAATACTTTCAATCGGTCACTTCCTCACATCAATACTATAAGCAAATGGTATCAGTCAATAGATGGTTCACCAGGATTCACAAAAGAGGCATTGAATGCATTAATATTGAAAAAGGAAGAAGCAGCTGCCCAGGGAAAAGAAATTTTTTGCAATTTAGTTTTAGATGAAATGTCAATTAGGAAACAAGTAGAATGGACAGGTACCAAGTTTTGTGGATATGTTGATATAGGCACACATGTCCACTCAGATATTCTCCCAGAGGCAAAAGAAGTTCTAGTATTCATGCTAGTATGCATTAATGGGTATTGAAAAATACCAGTAGGATACTTTTTCTTGGATGGCCTTAGTGGTGCTGAAAAAGCCGACGTAGTTAAACACTGCCTTACATTTGTTAACCAGTCAGGAGTAACTGTTACTTCACTAACATTTGACGGCGCCCCTGTTAATTTGACCATAGCATCACGTCTAGGAGCCAATTTTAGTGATCCCAAACAGCTGAAAACCTACTTCAATCACCCTATAACTGGCAACAAAGTTTATATATTTTTAGATCCTTGTCACATGATAAAATTAGTCAGAAATACTTTTGGTTCTCAGAAATATTTGACAGATATGTCTGGCAACCAGATTGACTGGAATTTTTTAGTAAAACTGGTTGATATACAAAGTTCTCAGGGATTACACTTAGCTACAAAAATAAGGCCCAGACACCTCCAGTGGGCAAGGGAGAAAATGCAGGTGAAGATTGCGACTCAAACGCTGAGTAAGAGTGTAGCAGATGCGTTGTTATACTTGGGAGAAGACTTAAAATTACCATCTTTCAAAGATATTAAACCAACGTCTATTTTTGTACAGATGTTTAACGATCTATTCGACGTTTTCAATTCCCGGAACAGATTTGCAAAATGTTTGTACAGGAGGCCTTTATCCCCCTCTACCGCCCACACTTTCTTCCAGTTTCTAGATCAAGTAACCATTTATATCTCAAATTTAAAGCTTGCTGACGTTGCAGTTTTAAATTCACCAAGAAAAACTGGATTTTTGGGATTTTTGATTTGTATCCAAAGTCTTAGGGGGTTGTATAGCACCTATGTAGAGAAACAGAAATATATGAAATACATATTGACAAACAAATTATCCCAAGATCATCTTGAAGTATTCTTTGGTGCGATTCGGGGTAAAGGAGGCTTCAATAACAATCCTTCAGCAAGACATTTTGAAGCCGCATATAAACGATTACTTGTACACACGGAGATTTCAGGTCCATCGACGGGAAACATATCTCATTCAGAAAATCTGACAATTTTATCCTGCGGTAGTGGACAACAGGTTACAGTAGATGAACACGGGGAAAATTCATTAAACAGTAAAGAATTCATTGATTTTAAAGATGCTGTGAGTGAAGACATATCAAAATATAGTTTTTCTTCATCTGCTTGGGACTTAACAATATATGCTGAAGATGTGGTAGCCTACATTTCAGGATTTGTTGTCAAAGTTTTGAAGAAATGTGTCACATGTTCACAGTGCTGCAGTCTTTTGGAGGGTGATATTGTCATTTCTAAACTACAACAAAGAAAACAGTATGGCTCTTTAGTAAAGGCCTCAAAAGTTGTAATTGAAATTTGTTCTGCAGCCGAAAAGTACTTCAGATTTTTTCATAAAACTACGAATATATTCAATAAAAACATAAAAAACTTGATAGATATTTTAATACTAAACACACTGAAAACATTATCACCAAAAATATTACAGAATTTTGAAAATCACCTATATGATTACGATCCGCTAGATGGACATGTGATGCGCCTGATATATTGTGTAATTATTTTAATTTAAGAATACACCATGAAGCGACAAAACAACAAGAATTATCAAAAACACTCAAAATAAGAAGCATTTTCACAAAAACTATTTTGTTTAAACATCAGTGAGCTTTATTCAGTCAGTTCACAATGATAGGCCTGTCCAAAAACAATAATATCGAATCCTGCCTATTTGAATTCATTTAGCTGTCAATAAAAACATTCATTATGTACAATTTAAATAGAATTACCGACGCTCGGTTACTCTCAAAAGAAATTTTAATTTATATTACGTTTGCTGCCTCACAATATGAATTGTCTTGTTTTCTTGATTAGGTTGAATCAAAAATTTTAAACAAACACTTTTTCCCCAGAATTTCTCAACAGCTATCAGAGTATCGTAATCGCGAAACATTTCGAAAATTAGATATCATGTTTTCTGTATGATACGATATGGACATCACGAAAAATCATTTCACTCATTTCGTTCGGCCTGTCCTCTATTCCTTGGCTCGTCTAACTATAACTTCACACAAGGTTGCTACTATGGCAAGGACGAAGATCTGTACTTTTTGAAAATCGGTCCAATGGCAATGAATTTAACGGCAAAAAATGAAAAATCAAACAAAAATCGCTTAATTTTCGTTCTGACGTTTAAGTTGAGGAACATAATCCTTTATAAACTAATGACTCTGCACTGACTCAACCTGCTTGATGCCATTTTTTTATTGTCAACTCTGTCAGCCACCAGCTGTTTATTTGTTGTAAATTGGGGCTTCTAGATAATGTACGATAATTGTTTGTTTTGCTTAAGATTTATTTAGCATGATTGCTACAATTACATTCGTCTAAAAAATTAAACAATTACATAACATTATAAACTATTTTCTAGGAATAGGTACCAAAACTATGAGAAGCTCTATAAAAGTAATTTGTTTTTTTTATTGGCAATTTTTGAAATAATGTATTCATAGTGATCCTCAAACTTTAGTTTACTATCAATATATATACCTAAATATTTAATTGATGCAACATTTTCAATTATTTCTCCATTGATCCTAACTGTGATAGTATTTTCATTTAGGTATTTCCCTATTAGCATACATTTTGTTTTAGAAGTATTCAATTTTAGTTTATTTACATTTAACCAATTTACGATTTTTGCCAAGTCAGAATTTAGCATTTTTAAAGCAGTGTCTATATTTTCATCTGATATGTATATTAATGTATCATCTGCAAATATCTGAAGTTTACAATAATCTAAAATATTACAAATGTCATTAATGTATAAAATAAATAGTAGTGGACCTAGTTTACTACCTTGTGGTATACCAAAAGAAATATTCTTTGATATTGATCATGTAGATCCAATTTTGGTTTTTTGACTTCTGTCAATTAAATAGTTTTGTGGAATTTTTAATGCAGATCCTTTAAATCCGTAGTGATGCAATTTTGTAAGTAATTTATCCCTCTCAATAGCCAAACTCCCTTTTGAAGTTCAAAAAACACTGTTACTGTATGTTTCCGATTGTCTATACATCTCCTCCAGTCCTCTAAAACCATTTGTGTCCTGAATCCAGCTTGAAATTTGGTTAAAATGTTACTTCTCTCAATAAATTCGATGATCTGTTCGTAAATAACTTCTTCAAAAACTTTTTCAACATCTGGCAGAACATTTATTGGCTGCATATT